TGGCTCAGCCTGTAATTCCAGTGCTTTGGGAGGCTGAGGTGAGTGGATTACCTGAGCCCACGGGTTCTAGACCCGCCTGGGCAACTTGGCGAGACCTCATCCCTACAATAAATCAAAAATTAGCTGGGCGTGGTAGCGTGCGCCTGTAGTTCCAGCTACTTGGAAGGCTGAGACGGAAGGATCGCCGGACCCTAGCAAGTCGAGGCTGCGGTGGCTGGGAGTGTGCCACTGCACTCCAGTCTGGGCGACAGAGTGAGACTCCAGCTCAAAACAACAACAACAACAACAACAAAGACTGACATCGTACAGATAATAGTTCCTTACCAAAAGGTGATGAAAGCAGAGATTAACCCTTTGCACTTGGAGACATCTCACGGATTACCTACCAGCAACTTGACTGCACTTTTTTACAAAATAGTGAAAAACAAATCACTTCATATTTAACAGTAATTGTGTCGGAACCAATTATTTTACTATGGTATTTGGCTTATAATGAAATTTTGGACATTGAGGAACTTATTTATGACAAAATAAAAATTGTATGTCTTATGTTTTCCTAATGTGTGGTAATGAATCAAAGTCACCCACAAACATTGAAGGATCATTGAAACATGTGGTGCAATAGTCGTTTGTTTGAAGTCTTTCACCTGGTGTTTTAATGTCTCTGTATATATTCCATCTCTTTATTTGCTTTTTCACACAATTTGAGGGGAAAACTTCAAGGAAACATACACTTTTTAGAAAATTGCTCTGGCATAAGTTTGTCCTATCACCAGCAATCTTTTTATGTTCCCTGCGAGGGAATATCCAAGTGGTTTGCAAGATTTACAATGTCCTCTCGTGAAGGGATATCCAAGTGCAAAGGGTTAATAAGAAAATATTGATTAAACATGAAAAGACATCAGTAATTTTTATAACTAACTTCTTGCTAAAAAAAAAAAACAAACATAAAATACAAATTGAGCTACAACACAAAGTTCACTGTGATAAGAGGTTCAAGGTACAATAGCGATTCTTTCTCCTCTATCAAATTTTCAATTTTATTATGATTATATCTGGTGTAAATATTTGAACACAAATTTTCGGTTTTCAATGAACTATCATTATGCCTATGTCCTTTGAATTAAAGTAGAAGTATTTTAACATCATTTTAATAAGTTTTAAAATGACTTCATCCATTTATTCAACTAATATTTATTGAGAACCTTGTACTTGTAATGTGCTTTTCAGGTACTGGGCTTAAATTAGTAGGAAGAAGAAAAATAAAAATCTCTTTCCTTACACATTGGAGCTGAGATTCTAATAGGACAGTAATAGAGCACAAAGCAAACACACACACAAAAAAACTAAATAAATAAATAAAAATAAATCATTGGCTGAAAAGAAAACCTATGTTTGCAAAGAAGAAAAACACATGTTCCTGAAAAAATATATGAAATAGTAAAAGGCAGAAAATAATAATTAGATTTTTAAAAGAACAAAAATACTATATGGGGGGGGGTCCCAAAAAACCCCAGAATTTATATATAAGAAACTGTGCATTTATTCCAACATCTTTGAACTTCAGTCACCATCGAATACTCTCAGTTTGATGCGATACACCTATAGAGACACTTTTCCACTGTTCAAAACAGTTTTTGAACTCGTCAATTTTGATGCTTTTCAGTGCTTCTGCCATTTTTTGTTTCACCTCTTCCACATCAGCAAAACGTTTCCCTTTGAGGACTTTTTTCATTGGGATACAAAAAAAGGTCGCTTGGGGTGAGATTGGGTGACTAGGGAAGGTGGGGTATGGGGTTCATGTTGTTTTGGGGTCAAAAACTGCTGAACACTCTGAGCAATGTGGGCAGGTGAGCTGGTAAATCACCCATAATGAAATGGGCAAACATGTTGAAAGAACCTCCAAAAACATTCACTGAAGCTCAACGCTGCCTCTTACAACGATGCTAGCCGGTACACTGATGTTCATGGGTTCCTAGAACACTTGCCTAATGAGGGAAGCCTATACTACAAAGGGCCTGCCTTCCGAAAACTAATTTCTATTTTTGGGGGTCCCCCCTCGTATGTGAAGCTGGTGAAATTCAGGTAAGGTAGTTCTTAGGAGAAAATTATGTCATTAAATGTTTGTATTGTAAAAGAAAAAAATGCTTGAAATTAGTGAGTCAAATTTCTAACTTAAGATATAAAAACCAAACACAAAAACCAGCAGAATGAACCACAAACCCAAATATTAAGAGAAGGAAAATAATAGAGGCATAAGAATTAAAAATAAGTTAATATTGTTTATTGGTCACTTAAAACAATCCAAAATATTCACCAACCATCATATAGTAAGAAAATAATGAAAAAGATGATAGATTTGTTGCTTTCTTCCTATTTGCAACATTTTGGAAAATATAGTTTTACTAGCAATCACACATACCAGAAAAGTGAATTAACTTTGATTGCATGGGTAGTTGAATTGGGCAGAAGAAACGTCTTTCCCAAGATAATATATGATCTTGTTGTTATGAACTGATTCAATTTGATTAATCTTGCTCCTAAGCTTTTCATATTCCATAAGTTAGCTTTCAAAGTTATCATCTTTTAAATATTGCTCTTCAGTACCTTTTTAAGAATAATTTTCATGATATATTTTCTGAGGCATATTAAAAGAAACTAAATATAAATTGATGAGCACTTATAACCACATTACAACAGAGACTTATAATTCTTAAATAAAAAATTACTTTATAGACCGGACACGGTGGCTTGCACCTATAATCCTAGTATTTGGAAGGTTGAGGTAGGAGAATTGTTTGAGCCCAGGAATTGGAAACTAGACTAGGCAACATAGAGAGATGAGATCCTGTCTCTACAAAAAATCAAAAAAGTATCTGGGCATGGTGGTGTGCACCTATAGTCCCAGCCACTCCAGAGGCTGAGGCAGAAGGATGAGGCTGACGCCTAAGCCCCAGGAGATCGAGGCTGTGGTAGCCCTGATTGTGCCACAGTTCTCCATACTGGGCAACTGAGAGAGACTCAAACAAATAACTATATAAAGAACTATGCATGCATTTATGTATTCCAAATCAGTTACAACTTTTTGTGTGTAAAAGTTATTTATGTCACACAAGATTTCATTCCAAGAGTTTGCACTGTGAGTATTAGGACAACCTAGACAGTTAGCTCCATACCCATATCTCTTAACATTGCTATTGCATTACCACCAAACCTAATGAAAGAGTACTTGGGTCATTCCAGATGAGTTAAAGCATCAAAGGCAAACTACAAAAGTCATACAATAACACTAGAAAGTAAAGATTAGTATCAATACAAGTTTGGTCTGGAAAGGTCTAAGGTTAGAATTCAAGATAAAAATCCAGAAATTGACAGATTCATTGTTTGCTTTTTTAACAAGTTTTAACTCTATAATCAATTAAACAAACTAAATATGTAAAGGGAATTTTGTGTCTTTTTTTTCAGCCACTAAACATTTAATACAACGTTCTTGACTTAATGTGCTGTCTGTGACTTCCAACAAAATGTTGAAAAGAAAATGGTAGATAGTGGACCTTCTTTAATGTATCTCAAAAGAAATACTTTCAAAATTTCCTTAATAAGAATGGTATTTGCCATAATTTTGGCAAATTGCTTGCCGAGTTGATTCCCTTTCAAAAAATTATCTTCTTTTTCTAGTTTGCTCAGGGTTTGTTATTTTTGGTACATCATTAATAATTTTTTTATTTAATCATGACACTCATCTAATGAGTTATATATACACATACATGCATGTATATATATATTCTCTACATACATATGTGTATAAGCACATATATCTGCATTTGGTTTGCTAATTTTGAGGGGATTTTTACATCCATACTCATGTGTGAATCTGGGTATAGGTTTCCTTTCTTATACTGTCCTTAACAGGATTGATTTCAAGGTTTTCTAGCCATGTAAACAGAAGAATATGTCTTCCTCATTTGTCCTCTGTAAGAATTTATATACGATTACATTTATCACTAGAATGTTGTTTAGATCTCATTGATAAAACCATTTGAAACTGGATTTTCTTTGTTAAAAAATCCAACAATTAGCAACTCAATTTCTTAGAGGACATAGGATTATTCAAATTTTTTATTTCTTCCTGAGTAAAAAGTTAATAGAAATATTTTGTAGGAATTTGTCCACTTCATCCGCAGTTTTTAAGTTATTGGCATAATGTTCCAAATATACTTTTATTTCATTTTGGTATCTAAATTCTCTGTGATTATCATTATCTCTTCACATATGTTAGATAATTATGCTTTCTCTATTATTCTTTATCTTTCTTGATCTCTTTCATCTATTTCCTTGCTTTTTTTATGCCAATTCAAATTATCAACTTTGTTCATACTTTCTACCATCTGTTATTTTCATGTTATTAATTGTATCTCTTATTATTTCCTGCTTTAAATACCTTTCCTTTTATTTTACTGCTCTTTTTCTAACCTCTTTATATCAATGTCTAACTCATGAGTGTGGGGCCTTTCTTATTTTTTAATGTAAACATTTGTCTGTGAACTTCCTTCCAAGTACTGCAGTATTTTCATTTACAGGCTTGATAGTCAGTATTTTTTTACATTATAGTTAAAAATAGTTTCTAATTTTCATTATACTTTCTTGATTGAATTGGACAGATTTTTTAATCTTAAAATATATAGGAAAAGTTTTTAATTAAAAATATCTTTAAAATACATGGAGATTTTCCTATTTATCTTTCTGATACTGATTTTTTCACTTAATTTCATCGTGACTGATAATATAACTTATATTATTTCACCCTTTCTATACAATCGAACATCTTTTTATATTATTTTTTCAAAAAATTCTCATAATTTTTATTATTAATTCTCTGAATAAAAATTTAGTCTCATCTGAAAAAATCAAAAGATAACAAAAGATAAATGATATTTGAAAGCTGATGAACCTTTGGACTTATGTAAGACTAAAACAGAATGCTTGGTGGTGTACACTACCTTCTCCCCCGGGGTCACAGACACTCTCCAGATGCAGTGTGTGTACGAAGGGTAGCCGTTTGGAAATCCTGGGGAGGAAAGGTTGCCACTGGATTCTTGCAGGGTTTCTCCACATGCTGGGGAAAAAAAAAAAAAAGATATAAGGTCACTCTTTAATTTCCATAAAGGACATAGATATCATACATAAATCCTGGAGGTTTTTTGGTACTAGATAGAAGTATACATAATTGCACCTTATAAAAGACTTTTTCTTCCTAAGTAAATTTCTTTTTATGTCTCTCTTATTGGAATTTCAGTTTACTTAAGGCATCAGGAGGGCATCATCAAAGAAGATTATAAGACAAACAGTCTTGCATTAATAGGTTCTTCCTCATGGAAGCCTTCTCATTCATTCCCGAGGACCCACATTCAGATTCAAGTCAGTGATACCTAGACTGTGTGGCTGGGGTCACGTGAAACCAATTCATTAATATATTCAATATGAGCCGGGCTCGGTGGCTCAGTCTGTAATCTCGCGCCTTTGGGAGGCTGAGGTGAGTGGATTGCCTGAGCCCGCAGTTCGAGACTCGCCTGGGCAGCAAGACCTCATCTCTACAATAAATCAAAAAATTAGCCGGGCGTGGTAGTGCATGCCTGTAATTCCGGTTACTCGGAAGGCTGAGGCGGAAGGATTGCTGGAGCCCAGCAGGCGAGGCTGCGGTGGCAGGAAGCGGCCACTGCACTCTAGTCTGGGTGACCGAGTGAGACTCGAACTCAAAAAATATATATATATGTATATTCAATATGAATTGAGGCTAAGCTTAAAGTGAATGTCATATCAAGGTTAAAATATTAAATAATAACAAATAAGTAATCAACAAAGGTGGTATCAAATGTCAAACACAATAGATTTTTTTCAAAATAAGAAAAAAAAAATGAAAGGATAAAAAACATTATGGAAGATTCAAATTTTCCAAAAATATGTAGGCATGTATTCACTATCTCTTTTCTGTTGATCGTTAGCAGAAGAGGCTAGAAAAGTAATTAGCATATTTTCCCCTAACTGAGCTTATCTAATTGCTTGGAACCAACTATAAGTCATCTGAAGCAGCGACTTATCAGCTGCAAAGCATCAGAACCTGCATCTAGCCAAGGCGAGTGTTCAGCACCACTCTGCCAAGGGCTTTCCTGTTACTTTGCAAGACAAGCTACAAGCCAGTAACCCAGGCCACTGAAAGCGTCTTTAACTTAAGAATGATTCCTCCACTGTGGCCTGTCATCCTTCTGACATTCATTCGACAAGCTGAAAAAACAGTTCCTTTCCTTCTCTCTGAAGGAGACTCCAATGAGAATTGCAATATCACCTTATTACAGAGTTAGAGCTACCAGCAGGTGAACTCTCATCTCATCAAATCCTCCATACATTATTAATGGTATTAAATAAAGAAAGGACAAAGAATTTCAAAACACAACATTAAGGTCTAAAAAAGTCTGATATGCTATATTTGTTTTTAAGAAAAACAGATATCATGTTTGCATAACAAAATAAAAATTTAAAGTAGGGATAGGCAATGTTTATTCTGATGAACAGGCAGATTAAAGTGACTTTAGAACTTAGAAAGCTCAAGATAAAAAATACATAATTCAGTAGTGCTCAGTGAATCATCCTGGGTGCTTAATAAATGTAACATTAAAAGAAATTTTAGAAAAATGAAAATGTATTAAGATTTTATTAATACAATGTGCTTCAGTTTAGATGCAAAATAATGATTTGGGAGTTGAGTGTGTTTCATTGAAAAAAGTTTTAATTCACAGCAGTTTAAAAATAAATTCTGTGGCCGGGCTCGGTGGCTCAGCCTGTAATCTCACACTTTGGGAAGCCGAAATGAGTGGATTGCCTGAGCCCGTGGGTTCGAGACCCGCACCAGGCAACTTGGCGAGACCTCATCTCTACAATAAATCAAAAATCAGCCGGGCGTGGTAGCACACGCCTGTAGTTCCAGCTACTTGGAAGGCTGAGGCGGAAGGATCGCCAGAGCCCAGCAGGTCGAGGCTGCGGTGGCCGGGAGCGTGTCACTGCACTCCAGTCTGGGTGACAGAGTGAGACTCCGACTCAAAAATAAATAAATAAATTCTGTAATGATTTAAAGCCCCACTAAACTGCAGAGAATGCTAGTACTAAATTTCCTAGAGTGAAATTAAAATAAATATATTTAATCCGCAAAATATACACAAACAATACTGTTCCAAATGCTTAGTCTGTCTATGGACAACAAGGTGTGTGGGTGAGATGACCCAGGTTTAAGTTTAAGTATTGATACTGTCCCTCATTAATTATGTCACCACAGGTAAATCTCAAAAGCTTGACCCAACCTTCTCAACTGTAAAATGCCTACCTTTATCATGAATACTTCATAAGCTTGTTTTGGAAGGGTCAAGTGTTAGGCTTGAAATCTCCCTTTGAATCCTTTAATATCTCTCCCAGGTAGGAAGACCCTGTGCTTAGAGGAAGAAGGTGTGTGCACTACAACAACTTCCTCAGTACCATCAGGGAAGATACAGCATATTTGCCAAGAGACACATCATTATGATCAGTGTTCTAATAAAAAGAGCCTCCAAACAAAACACAATTCAGAAGTTAAGCTGACATAAGTTTTCATCGGATGATCCATCCCACTTTTAAATTAGATCATCCATATGGATCCTCCTTCTAGCAAAGGAAATTGTGCCTGAATTGTATAAATAGCATTTAGATTGTGTGTTGTGAGGAATCATCACAGACTCTCATCCTTTTAGTAACATGGATAAATGTATAGCTGACTGCACATCCATCCAGATTTTTCCTATCAAATCCATCAAATACCACAGGTTGAGAACTTCCCCATCTCCATATTCTGTAGAAACACATTTATAATTTTACTAAGAGTAATGAAAACATAGGTAGACACACAATAATCTGTTTTAAAAACATCTCCAAGAAATAGATAAACTCTAGGTTAAGAGAAGAAATAAAATTATGTCTAATCAACTTAACAATATCAAATTAAGGTAAATTATTCATAAATCCGTGTCTCTTTTAAATATCACAAATACAATTTTGTTGTAAAATAATTTTCAAATAGGAAAGCATTAAAAGAGACAAATTATTGGAAGATTTTTAAAGACTTTTCTGCAGTATTTGCATAGCCACACCCAATCATCCTACAGAATAAAGCATCCATACCAGCCCCAGGAAGACTTTTGCATGAGTCTGCAGTCAGGTGAGCCACTCTGGCTCCCAGACTGTTCCAGTTCCCTTGCTGAGTATACCGGCCTCCACATCACGCTGCATGTTAGTGTGACACCCCAACACCATGCCGTTGTGTGTGCACGCTGGACTCTACTCTTGTGTCATAACACTGTGCCCCCATTCATTCATTCATTCATTCAGCAATTATTTACTGAGTCCCTAGTTTATATCAGATTCTGGATCCCATGAGGAATAGCCTGACTCTCATCCTCAGTATCGTATATTCTAGGGCAAAAATGACAAGTAAACTGGCAACTATAAGAAAAAGCTGTTCAGACAAGGATCAAATTAGGCACTGATCACCATAGGTTTCCTGGGAGGCCAGGGAGCTTCTAAGTAGGAGGATTGAACCCGGCAGCATTGATGAGTGTCCTGGTGAAGAAAGAGGTCATACGCAAGCGACAAGCTGGGAACAGGAGCTGAAAAAAGTGGAAGTGAGAAACTAGGCTACAGAAAAATGCCAGAAGTGAGGCTGAACAGGCAGACATTTTGAAGGAAACACCTTGAAAAACATTAGCCTCTAACCTAAAGATACTGGGAGCAAGATTTATATTTCAAAATGTCACCTGGACAGCAAGTTGTGGCTGGAGAACTGGGGGTAGGGGTATGAGAATAAAGGCAGAGGTCAGCCAAACGCTGAGACAGGCCCCACAGGAGAGGACACCTGGATGAGGAGAATCATGTAGAAACATAAGGCACTGAGAAGGAGAAAAAAAAAAAAGCCTGCAATGGACTAAGGACGAAAGGCAGGCGGGGGAGAAGGGCAGCCAGTATGCTGCCCTAGCCCTGGTCTGGTGGCTGAGCAGCTCTGCTGCTGTCCTGGGAGCTGGGAGATGTTTGCTGGATGATGAATACACAGATTTGTGAATAAATGGGGAAAATGGCTAAATGAATTCTTTGCATGTTGGTAATGTATTTTAGCCAAGAATCACCCACACAAAAGAAATTACAGAAAGAACATTTTATCTGAAATATCAGAGAATTATGTCAAAATATAGGTAACCAGGCCGGGCTCAGTGGCTCACCTGTAATCCCATGCTTTGGGAGGCCGAGGTGAGTTGATTGCCTGAGCCCGCGGGTTTGAGACCCGCCAGAGCAACTTGGCGAAACTTCAACTCTACAATAAATCAAAAATCAGTCAGGCATGGTAGCCTGCGCCTGTAATTCTGGTTACTCGGGAGGCTGAGGCAGAAGGATCGCTGGAGCCCAGCGGGTTGAGGCTGCGGTAGCCGGGAGCGGCCACTGCACTCCAGTCTGGGCAACGGAGTGAGACTCCAACTCAAAAACAAACAACAAACAAGTAAACAAAAAATATATAGGTAACTGAAAAAAAACTTTTATCAATTTTAAAGGTAAATTAAATGAAGCAGGTGTTTACAACTCACAGTTCCTAGTAATCAAGCTCCATGCATGTTGAAATTGGTCTGCATCTCTACAGCCTCTACATACACGTGTACCCATAGACACACACATTCTATATAGGCATTGTTTGTACATCAAAACTAGAAGCTTTTGTGCATTGGTGAATATGGGTCATATGCTTGTTCATGTGTGAACACACACACACACTTTTGCATAAAGAAAGAGACCCCAATCCTAAAAATCCCCTTTATTTTTGATACCAATTTATTTTTCATATTTCTTAATTTTACAGTTACTTGACATTAGTAAGAAAAACCCACTGAGAGAATAATAGTAATGATAGTTGATCTAAATACCAAGGACTTACAAGCAATAGGTCATGAGATTACAGAAAAAATAATTGAGAGAAAATGCAGATAAAGACCAAAGAAGAATTAAATTAAACATCTTTATAATAAGAAGGGAAAGTAATCCTATGATTAGAGCAAAGTGGAGGAGAATATATTTAGAAAATGAGAATCACAAGGAAAAAAAGTTGCAAAACAGAGAGTAAGAGAAGAAACCACTCATTTGAGAAGAGAGAAGGACACACTACAAGTTACGTACCCTGGAAACGAGCTCCTGACAGACAAATGGCTCATTGTTGGGGAAAGGGAGGATGAAGGCTTACATCGATGACCATTCTCTACTCCATGCGAGCAGATCAGTCCTGACAATATTTGGGATACAATCCTTCCCATGACAGGCAAAGAGTGTTAGCAAGTATCCTTCAAGATGCCTTGATGCTTGAAAGGTTCAATAACCCCCAGAAGGATACAGGACTGACCTTGAGAATCCAATAATGTCCAGAAACCTGCTTAGACTCACAGTGGAGCAGCTCTTCCCTCCTTCCCCCTACCCAGAGGGGGACTCAGCAAGCCCAATGCATATGGGAACTTTGCTTGCAGTCTCAAAACCCAAGAGCAAGAAGTGGCAGTGATAACAATTACTTATCCTCATACTATCATCTTCAAAATCTAGCTTTACTTCTGTATGAGCTTTTTTATGATAAGTATGCAGTGACTGTGTAATAAATAACTGAGGTTTCATGTATCTGTTTACTTTATACTTTTAACATATACAAGTAGATGCAATAACAGATTACAAGATTAAAGTTTATCAACCATTGTCTCCCATGAAAATTACAGTTAATATTATTTTAAAGAAAATACATATACATAAATTTTGAATGCTGTCCACTTTCCGATACACTTAAAGAAACATTTGCTATAATATTTAAGAAAGACCAGAAGTCTCTACAGCCTACCTGTTAGAAGTACACACTTTTAGCCCTAGTGCTCACTTTTCCTCAGACCATACACGTCACAATCTTAATTTATCTAACTTTATTCTTCACCAGGTCAGTATTCTTTTCAAGATTAAACTCTTCGAAATGGTTCTACAAAATATAGATCTAACAGAGCTTTGAGCATAAACTGGTGAGAAAATAGGTTGGCATAAAAAGTAGCCACACATATCTTATTGGTTCTAGTCATCAGCAATTTCTAACAAAAGAGTAGGAATAAAACAAACTCAAAGAAAATGCAGTTTTATAAGCCTCTCCCCTCTGCATTAAAACCAAAACTCAAGCAGATCTCACTTTGTCAACTCTTGCTCTTTTGCTAATTCCCAGATGTGTCAGACTACTTAGACTTTGATATATAGTTACAAATCTTGAACACTATTCCATTTGTGTATTTGGAGTTCCTAGTAAATCTGCTGCATGTGTAGCTTAACGTCATTTGAACTGTGGTAAGTATATTTATACCAATATCATTGTCTTTATCCAGATAAATTATTAGTGCTCCTCAGTTGAGGAAAATAGAAACTGAAATATACAGTCATATGTAGGGCTCAAAGCTAACTACTTCAGAAAGAGAGCAAGAAAGAGAGAGACAGAGAGAGATGCACACACATGCGCACACACGTGTGCACGCACACACACAAAACACAGTGGCTGAGAGGGACACAGAAAGAAACACAGACTAGAAAAACAAAAGAAAGGGAGGAAGTTGTTTCGTGAACATTAACAAATCCAAGAAAGGAAAAAGGTCATTCTCAAAGATTTTGGAAACTAAAAGTAAAGATATCTTTATTTAACTGTCTGTGTGTATACTTGTATCTTTATTTAACTGTGTGTGCGTACATACCTATATATTTTGGCTTTCCCTTACTTCATGTAATTCATAAACTGTAAGTCAGTGACTTGTGGCCAGGTTCGGTGGCTCAGCCTGTAATCCTAGCACATTGGGAGATCAAGGCGAGTGGATTGCCTGAGCCATCGAGTTCAAGACCAGCCGGGGCAACTGGGCAAGACCTCATCTCTACAATAAATAAAACATTAGCCAGCGGTGGTAGCGCACGTCTGTAGTTCCGGCTACTCAGAAGGCTGAGGCAGAACGATCGCCGCAGCCCAGCAGATTGAGGCTGCGGTGGTCAGGAGCATGCCACTGCACTCCAGCTTGGGCGACAGAGTGAGATGCCAACTCAAAAAAAAAAAGACAGTGACTTGCTTTTTTATACTGATTTGGAAATGCAAAATGCCTTTCTCACAGATCATTGTGTGAATGTGGTTTCATGATCTCATAGAGCATTGCTTTCATGAATATGGTTTTACTGTATTAAATAAAATAATGATATATTAATTGTTTCTATTGTTAAGATAAAAATGACCCATTTATGTATTTCATACAATTATAATCTCAAGTGGAAACGATACTTCTAATTATCTTCTATTAATAACTGAAGTATTCAAGAATCATAGGCTGAAAATTCATTTACAGTATCAAAAGTGAATTTGGTTTTTTCTTACTGACTTTCCTAAAATTCATTATGCAAATGAATTTCCAGTGTGATTTTTAAATGTAATATAGCTATATATATGTATTTACACACACACACACACACACACACACACATACACACACACACACACACACACACACACACACATTCAGAGGGACAATCAAAATAGCTTTATGTACAAAGTATCCATTTGCTTAGTTTAATCACATAATCTTTCCCTCTCTAAAAGTTAAAGAGCATATGTTCAATGTTGCTAGAAATTAATCAAGAATAGCCCATGTCATTTGTCATAGTGGTGCCATTCTCTTATAAATTCATTTTTCCTATGAAAATTTGAATTAAAAAATAAACCCAAAAAACCACATATACATGTATGTCTTCCATACATACATAAAACATATTTAAAGGTATTTGTTAATATGAATCCAACTTAAGTAAATATCCATAAAGTGAATAAATTGATGAGTATTAACTAGAAGTGTCTTTAGATGCAAGGAAAAATTAGGTAGACAGGTAGACACAGATATAGCTTATATATAAAAGAAAACATTTGAAAGCTTACTTTCAATAATGAGTCATTAAAATGTAAAAGGTTTTAAAAGCAGTTTTTTTTTTTTTTTTTGAGTTGGTGTCTCACTCTGTTGCCCAGACTGGAGTGCAGTGG